AGCCTTCCTTCATAGGTCATGTTCTCAAGACCTTTAATCATTCTTGTAATAATTACACACATCCTCTCACATGGGTCTGCATGTCCCAGTTCCTATTTATAACTAACTCACTACAGGTCTGGATGATAGAAAATGGTCGCCAAGAAAATCAGGACATAGTTTAGCCATAGGAGTTCTGATTTTTTGTGTGCAATCAATCTGCCCTAGGGTATTTCTAGTTTGCTCATCGCCATATTAGCTAAGCACCATTATCTTTCTCCAGTCAGATTAATTCAGTCAGCTTGTAAGCTGACATACTGTCTCAAGTTAAGTATGTTTTGTCTCTCTTACCCAAAACGTCATAGTTTATAGCACCATGTTTTTTGCTTTTTCTGCCTTTAACTGTAGTCAACAGGCAAAAGTGGCTGCATTTCAGAGTTGCTGTATGAATGGAGTTCACAAAGCCTTTTGACATATATCAGGATGAAGGATGTTGCATATAAATATCGTATATGATATGATATCAATAGAGATCTGTGAAATGGGTATGAGGAGAGGAAACATATGATTGGCTTTTTAAGTGGTATGAGGGTAATTATCTGGTAAAACCTCACATGTTGGAAATCATTAGCCAGTTTTTGCCGTCCCTTAAATCATTTGTCCATATGAGCTATGCCCATAAACTGCTCACTCAAAGCACGGAACATGAAGAAGGGAACAACCATATCAAACGCCCATGCCCTCCCCAACTCTCTGTTGCACCACAGATTCCAGAAGGCCTGAAGGGACTTTCCCCTCCTTTCTCCACTAGAAAGACTTGAAAACTTTTCAATATCCACAGTCAGTGAAGCACCCAAAGCTTTGCCCAGCCTTATTACAAAGCTACTAAGAATGAAATGAAACTTCCAGCTCATTTCTGACATTCCTGAGCAGTTTGGGTGCTGTGTACATCCAGCTCCCCTGGACCTGGCCTCCTTGCAAAAAGGTGTTTAACCATTAATTACATTTTCTTAATTATATGAAATTCAGAGATGCTTCCAAGTTTTCCAGAGTTTGCACATCCAGAGCAGAAAAGGGTTGCTGCTGGAAGACGCACTAACAAAAAGTCAAATTTAGTTTGACAAGCATTTTAAAGGCTTATTGGTTTGCAATAGCAGTTACATACTGCATACACTGTGCGACTTGAATTAGCCGTCATGGTCATTAGGCCCCTATTAAGATAACATCTGACCCTTCTCCCTAAACCTTTGTCCTTTGGAAGCATTTATCACTGGCCGCGTAATGGTGGCACCCACTAGTGCCAAGATCATTAAGATTTGCTCGGTGTTCCCCTATAAAAACCCGGCTTTCTGTGAGTTTATAACTCAGCTGTAAAGCGTCTTTGTCACACAAGGCCTCAACTAGCAAAGAGAATGTAATTTCATTAAAATCTGTTTTGGGTTGAGGACTAGATAAAGATGATATATTTGCATATTCAGACACTAAGTGAGACTCACAGCAAAACCCATTAACATCACAATTAAAAAACATATTTGGTAAACTACAAGGACAATTAAAGATCAATACTATCCCCACTTCCTAACTCCTTATAGGCAATATGTCATCTAGCAGGGAGTGCAGAATAGAGTACTTGCTCTACTTTGTTACCCCAATCACACATGCTCTGAGCCCAACATAAATTCCCACTGTGCACAATATCTTACACCTCCCTATACTGTTTTCCTTTTTTACTCTGGTGAAGCTCCCTCATTCTCTCCCCATTCCTCAGTGCTCACCAATCCTGAGCAAGATGCTGAAACGGATGCAAAGGGGTTTGTCCCAAAGTTAGGTTTGTTTCACACTGTGCTTACCACATCTGTTATCCACACGCATTTGTCCCATGCCACAGAACTCCTGTAGATTCAAGAGTCTGGGAGACTTTTTGGCCACTTCATGGTCCATACCAGAGAGACGAACATGGAATTGCTCCCTGTTGATTACCTTCCGCAAGGTTCTAATTGTTTTGCGGAGTCTCTTCTCAGTCCTTTTTCGAGCACAGCTCAAATCACATGTGTCTACAAGGTAACAAGGATGAAAATTAGGAGCAGAGAACTTCAGTATAAATGACAGTTGCGAGAATATTTGGTTTAAAACACTGTCAATGCAAACAACTGAGAATGCAAACTGTGTGACGCGGGGTGAAATCTTTAAGGAGAACACCAGCAGGCCAGAAGAAAATTAACAAACGGACAATTTTTAATGATTTTAGGGACTAGGCATAAATATCATACTTTCCAAACCAGTAAAATGAAGCTTCAAAACAGGAGATACTTTTTGTATTATTATTTTTTGCATAAAGATGAAAGTGAAAGAAAGAAATTAAGGATCAAACTGCAAGAAGCCTTCCATTGCATTTTGGATTGTTCTCCAACCAACCTGTCACCTCCTTTTGGTTTGTTTCAAGCTCAAAGTCCACTGTGATAAACATTTCTTTAGCTGTCGTGGGTCTGCTGACGGCTCCGAGAACTTTCTTGCCAGAGCTGCATTTTAGGTTTACATAGTAGAAGCTCTCCATTACTGAGTTATGATTATCTGTATGAACAAAATTAAAGGAAGCGAAAGCTTGGCCAACTATGTTACTGGACATTCACTACAGCTCAGTAAATATTTTGTTATGAAGACTGCTAGGGGACTAAATGATTAACTCCAGATGCTAATAAACTACAAGCAACTGGGCTGGATCTTTGGCTAGTGTACTTTGCTGTAGCTTCAGTGACTTCAATGGACCAATAGCAACTTACACCAGCTGAGGATCTGGCCTCAATGCACATAAGGGACTGTCCACACTGAGATTAGAACCTTGCTAAAGCTACCAAATGGCTTAAATGTAGCTGCCGCTAGCAGGGTCCTAGTGTATCTTTTTTGGTCTGTGTAAACATATTAGAACCATTTTCAGGTTTTCCCTGCACAGAACAGGTTAGTCTTTAGTACAGTTTTCAAGGGAAAAACTCTTGCCTGCTCTGGTCTGAGAGTGTGTGAAAGCTATGCTAGCTTACCACAGTTTTTCCACACAACTGGGCCTGGTCCCAGTATGCACAGGCCTTACAGATACTATTGTTTAAAGTTTCCCTAAGGAAGCGAGTTCAATTTAAGGAAACATCCTGAGCACGTTTTGGCTCTGAGATAAATATATGTTCTTGCTAAGTGTGTAGTACAGATGATCACTCCTATTCTTTCAAAGCCAAACAAATTGACATGCTGATCTGATTCTTCATATTCAATCGAGTAAAAAATTTGCCATGATATGACCACGTGCTGAGTCCTCATTCTGCATCTTGTTTGCACTATAAAGAATATTCAGACTCATCTCAAACAGTGCCCTGTGGGCAGAACACATAGTCCCCCTTGTTTCCAGCTGCCTTTACAGGTTTCCAGCTCATCCTTTCACCAGAAAGAAGCGGGAAACAAGTGGGAGGAGCCAGCCTTGTCGCTGTGTCCATTAGGACCTACTGCTGCATAAGTGGAAGAGAAGAGAACCAGGAGTCAACCTTGGGGACCACAGTCACCAGAAGGAGAAAAGCCAGGAGCTTCTTCAATGTGGCATCAGGGACACAGTATGATCATTCAGGTCAGGGCCCAGGGAGTCAGAGGAGGCAGGACACGTGACTGGGAAGAGGCATGGTCCATAGGATCAACAGGGCAAGGAGAGGCAGTTTGCAAAGTTCTCGGACTATTAAGATGCAGCCCATGCCATGAAAATGTTTCAGAATCCCTGAATTACAGCATTAGCCTGCTTACTTTCATGTATACATCCTTACCTGGTATTATCTGTTGCAGACCTTCTCGAAACATCTCAGTCTTTTTCAAACTACATGTTCCTTCATTAAACTTAAAGGTTACACTTGTCTTGATGGTTGAGGTATCTTCAGAGAGAAACAAGGAAGTGTGACTTTCAATGAGAGAAAGACTGGAAATACTAAGGCAATGTCAAGCAAGTCACTAAAATGACATTATAACCTGTAAAACTATCCATCACTAAAATGCTGCTTTTTGTGTGGGCAGAGCTGGATACCAGTTTTCTTCGGCTGGTAAGTTAGTTTATAACTAGAACTGGAGTAACAAGCTGTGATATATTTGATTTAACAAACCAGGAACAATAACGATCATAGGGCAAGGTCCTCAGCTTCACTGAACTCAAAAGAGATATGTCATTTAACACCAGCTGAGAATCTGTCTCCCTACACTTATCTATAGTAGCACCTTTCATCCACTTAGCTCCCAAATGCTTTATACATTTTACTATTCAGCTAAACAAGCTATATGTTATATGTAGCCAAAATATTTCCACCTGGGTGCCTCAAGAGAGGCACCTAAATCCTCAGCTCCGCTGTTCACCTTAGCTACTGACCCTTTTCTGTATTCTCATTTGCAGGAATGTGGGAGATGCTGTTGAAGCAGCACACGGACTTTGAGGAGGGTCATTGTATGTGTGTTGTGCACACTCGGGTAAAGAAGAGGAAGCAAAAATTAAGGTGGTAAACTGAAAGAGAGAACACCACAAAAACTGAATAATATACCCGTTTTACACTGCCCTACTACAAGAGATGAGCCAAGTCATGCAGCATGTAAGTCTAGTAATTACCCAGGCAAGTAGATTCATTTGTATTTTGCTGTTTTTTCTTAAGCTGAGAAGAGCTGCCACAGGTAAGAGTGTAGGCGTCTTGCATTCCTAACGGATAGATTATACAGGCAGACGTTAAAGGCAGGATGCAGGCTGCACACACAGACTGGGGATATCCACACAGGTTTTAAGACATTGGTAGTTTACTGATCTTTATTCCCTTTTTTTCCAAAGTCAGAGCTTGGGGTAACTACCTGCATTTTTTTAAATAATCAATGTTTTAAAAGAGGTCAGATATAAATGTGGCTTTGCCCTCTTGTCTGTACGTGGTCCTTAACCAAAGGCTGGTCCTGTTTCCTGTTCCCCTGGACACAGGGGCTGGGAGTGCCATGCAGGCAGCATGCTCAGATGCAGAGGATGGAGTGCCTCACATCCCTGAACAACCTTGGCCAGTTGTGGAATGGCACGGACAGCACTGGGATTTCTATCAAATCCTCTTCACCGAAGAGAACAACTGTTATGATCTGGGGGATCTGAGGGTAGAGTAGTTATACAAGACAGAAAGAGGGGGATTCCTAGGGCTCTGGCAGGGACCTGAAAATCCCTATATAAACCGAAAAAGTTTCTCTTTTTTTCATTACTTATTACAGGCTTTCACAAGAGTAAGTATTGTTATTCTTAAATTCTCTACATAGCAGCACATATTGAACAGCCTTATGTTTTGTTCTGTTTGGACTTACCAGAAATCAAATGTACCTCGGAGGGACAGTTTAAGATGCACCTATCACTCCCATCACTCTTTATACAGGACAGCAATACTTTGGGTGATGTATCATCGGGCAGGGACCCCTCTATCTCTACACAGGATAAAACACAAACACTCATGGGAGAAGTAAAACATCTGCATTCACAGAGACACAGACTTGCAGCTACATCTGCCACATAACTGATACCAAACTGCATCCATGCAATTAACATTCTGTACAGAGAGAAGTGGGAGGGAACTAACAAAAAAAAATCACACACGGATCAAAAACATGTGTAATTTCCTTTCACGTAAAATTATCCCAGCATATTTTTTCATGCAGGAAAGCACAAAAGAGAATGAAAGAATAAGCCTAGATAAAAGCACAGAAAAGAAAGCACCAAAACCCCTCAAAGTATCTCCTGTTTTTCACCTGTTTCAACAATGACAGGTTTCAGAGTAGCAGCCGTGTTAGTCTGTATCCGCAAAAAGAACAGGAGTACTTGTGGCACCTTAGAGACTAACAAATTTATTAGAGCATAAGCTTTCGTGGGCTACAACCCACTTCTTCGGATGCATATAGAGTGAAACATATATTGAGGAGATATATATACACACATACAGAGAGCATGAACAGGTGGGAGTTGTCTTACCAACTCTGAGAGGCCAATTAAGTAAGAGAAAAAAAATTTTTGAAGTGATAATCAAGATAGCTCAGTACAGACAGTTTGATAAGAAGCAAGTGTGAAAATACTTACAAAGGGAGATAGATTCAATGTTTGTAATGG